CCTGGTATGGCCGAGAGCGGGGTGGGTTCGCCCTCCCTCTCGAAATACTCTCACACGGCCACGCGTATACAGTCTCTGCCAGGGAAGTCCTACTCATTGCCTTCTCGCAACACGGGTGTTGTTTACGAAAATGAGAGGACGAAAAGCGAATGTCCGGCGCTTTAACCGGATTCCAAACCAATGGTGCACATGGGCTCCAGTATCCTGTGGGAACAAATGGTGTGTGAACCAATTTTCGGTCACCGGCTACCATGGGACTGCATCTCCTCACGATGCTCCACTGCCTTGTGGGTTAGACCATTAGGTCAAAGGCTCGGGGTGTGGTCCCCTAAGATAACCACCTGCTTCGGTCTGGGCACCCGGGCAGTATCACAGCCTACACACAATTAATGAACTGAACTGTCTATGATCATGGAAACTAATTCTCTTGCTTCGACGAACATTCAAATGATTCTATTATTATTATTATTATTATTATTATTATTATTATTATTATTATTATTATTATTATTCACTACATCATTATTCACCCTATTTTATTCCTACTCTGTCTATACTTTTTTTTCGATTTATACAGCAGCTCGTCTATGGTGGAAATTCGACTCTATCTAAACGTTCTCGAGTCACTGTCCGGTTGAAAATTGTATGTTACCACCGAATACGAGGACTGAAGCAGTTTTTCTGAAACCACGTGCACCATTCAAACTGGCTGCCTTCAACGTTCGCACATTTATGCAGGTCGGACAACAGATAGGGCTGGCTATGTCTTTGGAAAGTCTTAATATTGATGTTTGTTGTCTATCCGAGACCCGTATTCAAGACTCTGGCGAAGTACTACAAATTCGATCTCCATCTGTCGCTTCGAAAAGCTTGTTTTACGTGCGCTTATCCGGGGACCCTGTGGCATCTTCGTCTGGTCTTGCTGGCGTTGGTGTCGCACTAAGCGCTAGAGCTGAGGCAGCACTAGTCGATTGGATCCCCATTAACAGTCGGTTATGTGCTGTTAGATTAGAAAGTTCCATCAAAGTGAGAAGAAATCGGCGTGAGAAACGATGTCTTTTCGTCATCTCCGCCTATGCCCCGACAGATTGCAGCCCGGATGCAATCAAGGATGAGTTTTACCACCAGTTATCTGTTCTTCTCCAGAAAGTGCGTTCGACAGATATTGTAGTACTAGCCGGAGACTTGAATGCTCAGGTCGGGCGTCTAGGCACAGAAGAGAGTCGTTTAGGTGGCCGATGGGGACTCGTTGGTCGCAGGTCAGATAACGGGGACCGTCTACTGCAACTTTGCACAGACCACAACCTGTTTCTGGCTAGCACTAACTTTCGGCACAGTCATCGCCGATGTGCCACCTGGCGTCCTCCCTCTGCATCTCAAGCCTGGACTCAGATTGATCACATCGCGATCAGCTACCGCTGGCGTGGTTGTGTACAAGACTGCCGCTCCTTTTGGAGTACCTATCTGGACTCTGACCATGCCTTGGTCTGCGCCAATCTTGCCTTACTTTTCAGTGGACAACGAAGTGACCGCCATCAACGGATTGATGTTAGCAAGCTGGTTGCAACTTCTGTTGCAAGTAAGTATCGAACCGAGCTAGCCTCTAGGCTAGCTACCACTCCACCGAAAAGTATAGATGAGCATTGGTTGCAATTGCATGACGCCATGAAAATGGCGGGAACAGTCAGTTGTGGGTTTGCGAAACGTCCCGCTTTTAAGCACTGGGTTTCTTCTGGTTCCTTACAACTCATTGAAGCCCGTCGGTCTACTCCGGGTGACCGTGAGTTTGACCATAAACGAAGGATGTTACGTAAGGAAATTGGGCAAAGCTTGCGTAAGGACCGAGAAGCCTGGTGGTCGATGCGTGCTAATGAGCTGGAAGCAGCAGCTGCATCTGGTAACTACCGGAAGCTCTTCCAGCTCATCCGAGCCACTGGCAGCAAGAAGTCTGGTGTGAGTGAAACAATCTGCGAGGATGATGGGATGCCAATCACTAACATCCATCGACGTCTTGGACGATGGGCAGAATTTTTCGAAGGGCAGTTCAACTGGCCTGCTGCTCCGGCAACATCGGTCAGACTGTCCTGCCCTCCATGGCCGGTGACGACTGATCCACCAAATGAGGAGGAAGTCCGCAAGGAACTCCAACTCTTGAAGCGTTACAAATCACCTGGCCCAGATGACTTACCTCCGGCTCTTTTTAAAGATGGTGGTGACTTTTTGACTAAGGAATTGACGACGTTGTTTACAAAGGTTTGGGAACTAGAGAGTGTACCAACGTCATGGAATGAGTCGATAGTTGTCCCTATCTTTAAAAAGGGTTCACGTCGTTCCTGTAACAACTATCGGGGGATAAGTCTACTTCCGATTGCGTCCAAGCTATTGGCTTCCGTCATACTTCGTAGGTTGTTCAAAACCCGAGAAAGATTGACTCGCGAGGAGCAGGCTGGGTTTCGTTCTGGTCGAGGATGTATTGATCATATCTTCACCCTCCGCCAAATGTTAGAACACCGCCATACTTTCAAAGGCCAACAATCGTAGTGTTTCTTGACATCAGGGCTGCCTTCGATTCGTTGGACAGGACTGTTCTCTGGGATTGTCTATTGAAGAAGGGTGTGCCTGAGAAGTTTATTAACATCCTAAAAGCCCTATATATACAACCACCTCTCTCCATTGTTCCATTCGAGCAGTGGGGTTAGGCAGGGTTGCCCAATCTCACCATTCCTCTTCAACTTTGCCATCGATGACATTCTGGAAACAGCTCTGATGAATGTAAGTAATGGTGGTGTGGATCTGTTGCCTGGAGAAAGACTTCTCGACCTTGAGTATGCGGACGATATTGTCTTACTGTGCGATAATGCCCAAGGCATGCAATCCGCACTTAATCAGTTGGCAATCAGTGTCCGTAGGTATGGTATGTGCTTTGCACCTTCGAAGTGCAAAGTACTTCTACAAGACTGGCAGGATTCTAATCCTGTACTCACCCTGGATGGTGAGCAGATAGACGTAGTCGAGAAGTTCGTGTATCTGGGTAGCTGCATAAGTGCTGGTGGGGGTGTGAGTGATGAGATCAATGCACGAATAGTGAAAGCCAGAGCGGCTTATGCCAATCTGGGCCACCTTTGGCGCCTTCGTGATGTTAGTCTGGCTGTAAAAGGTCGGATCTACAACGCGTCGGTGAGAGCAGTTTTGCTCTATGCTTGTGAAACCTGGCCTCTCCGAGTTGAGGACGTTAGACGACTCTCTGTGTTCGATCATCGCTGTCTCCGAAGGATTGCTGACATTCAGTGGCAACACCATGTCAGTAATGCAGAGGTTCGGCATCGTGTGTTCGGGCACAGAGATGATAATTCAATTGGTGTCACCATCTTGAAACACCGACTTCGGTGGCTTGGACATGTTCTCCGAATGTCGTCCCAGAGAATTCCACGTCGTGCATTATTTGCCGACTCTGGGACTGGTTGGAAGAAGCGGAGAGGTGGTCAGTGCATGACATGGTGTCGTGGCATGAAAGAAAGCTGCAAAGGACTGGCTTGTGTTGGTCCTTCACGACTCCCTGGTTGGGGTCCGAGAGATGGTGCTACACAGTGGCTAGAGACGTTATCAGATATGGCTCAGAATAGAAGCCAGTGGCGATCCTGCTGTAACCTTCTTTTACTTTCTTCATAAAAAGTGGTTGTGTCTCCTTTACCTGAAAGATTTCTTCCGATTGTACCTTTCCGTTCCCCCCTTATGACTATGATTATTACTACACTCCCTTACACAAGTCTCTTGATTATTGCTTTTTTTACGTTCCTCTTTTTTTCTTCTTTTTAAATTCTCATTGTTTTGTGTGGCGCATATATATTTGGTGCCCTCTTGTACCAATATATATGTGTTCAAATAAATAAATAATAAATAAGCTATTGGCTAGTTTGTGCTCTGTCACAGTCGATTATATCTGATAATCTTTGGTCAAGCGATTAAGGTTATCCTGTGTAGACAGTTATATAATATACCCTTGTGGGCCAAGGTAAATTTACATTGATTCTCGGTAGAAACGGACATCATCCAGACTTTCATGTGCCAACCAAAACATTACAGCTCAATCCCGTTTCCAGGAGAACCAGAAACCATATAGGCTTTAACGATACAATCTGTATAGTATAGCTCAATCTTGTAGTTCAACCACATAGGTACCAAACAGTCTAGTGGACTGCTGTTTATAAATGACTGTACTTTTTTGATGATTGTTGTAGTAGTTCTCCACGTTTCAGCTCCGCACAACAGGACTGTCTTGATGTGTGTGTTGAAAATTATGACTATGGACTTTGAGCTTAGTTCTTTAGAGTTCCAGATATTCTTCAGTTTATGTAATGCTGCCCTTGCTTGGTCAATTCATGCCTTTACATAAACAGTAGATTCTTCTTGTTTATCGATTATGCTGCCTAGGTACGTGCTTTTTACCCATTGACCATCAATATCAAATACACTCGTGATTAACTGGTCTTATTATACAAACCATAAGATGATTCAAGGTAATATAAACGTTGGTGAGCTATATAAAGTAACTGAATTATTCTTTTAGACAGGATCATCATCTATGTGCCCAAGTTGAGGTCGCTTTGTCGACCTATAAATCTATATAGTCCCCTAGTTAGTCTTGTTTTTTTCGTCAATTTAAATTGTTTTGTCAGATTATTGAACTACAGAATTTATCATCATCAATTAAGATACATTCAGAAAATTATCTACATCACTTGTCAACACATAATAAAGACTATGTAAGTATAGTAATCTATGTATTACACTAAAACAGACTATATTCAGTAGTTATACACAGATTTTCAATTGTGAAAGTATTCAGCAAGATGTATTGTAATGTCTTTTTTTTTTGAAAGAAAAAAGAAAGATAATTAACGACCCTTATACAGTGGAAATATTTCACATTTATAATTAGAAAGTACCTAATAACTATACAATATACACTTCGACATAGAATTTCATGATCAAGTCTATATCTATAAATAGATCAAACATTGATAAACACAAATGATCAGTGTTAATATCCATTTAATGGTATAATGAGTTATAGATTGATTGATTTTAAGTATACCACTATTATATAAACCATTTTCATAACGATTTGATATGACTTGTAAATTTTCAACCATTTGTATAAATTGTTGACCAAGCCAAGCTTCATATGTTTGATTTTCCCATGGAATTAAACTTAAACTTTCTGTATCATCATTAAATATTAAATCTTTTTGACCAAATTCAGAATTGAACATTTGAAAAACTGGATCACTATTTCATGAAATGAAAAAAAAGAAAGTACAAAGTATTGATTATTATTATTATTACTGTTGTTCACTGAAGCCAGTTTTCTTTACGATGATGCTATTTATTCAAACACTACATGAATTTGTAGTGACTCAAAAAATAAAATGCGAATGGGGAAAACGTTAAAATATTGGAATACAGCACAAACGAGAGTGGGGGAAAGTCAACTCTCCCTTTCGAAATGCTCTCACATGATCATGTGCATACAATCACCAACAGGGAAGACCTACTCATTGCCTTCTCGCAACACGGGTGTTGTTTACGAAATTGAGAGGACAAAAAGTGAATGTCCGGTGCTTTAAACAGGTTGGTGAACACGGAGAGTTCACACAGGGCAGTTGGAAAACCCAGATTCCAAACCAATGTTGAACATTGGCTCCAGGATCATGAAGGAACAAATGGCGTAGGAATCAATTGTTGGTCACCTTGTGGATTAGACCTTTAGGTCGAAGGTTCGGATTGTGGTCCGCTAAGAAAATCACCTGCTTCGGTTTCGGCACACGGGAAGTATCCTAATCCTCACACAAATCAAATGATCTATGTGGCCCATATCTATTTGGTGCCTCCTTATATCAATGTTTAAGTGTTTACATAAAATAAAAAAAATGAACATAAGGAAGCTAGAAAGTTTATAGAAACTAAGTATTTATTTCACTAACTGATCAATGTATATCTAAACAAATTCAATCTATAAGAAAAATGCAAAATCATTCCAACGTCAGACATCAGGTCACAAGAGAATTCAAACGAAATGAATGTGTAGACAATGACAGCCCAAATATGGACAATGACCAAATTTTATGTCAACAGAACAAGCTGATAAGAACTTTTGGAAAACTTTTAATGGTTAACTACATTTTTAATATGTAGTGATGATACTGACTAGAAAGTCAATGAGAGCTTCAGGACCAAATAATCCAGAGAATAGTATACCTTTAATAATACCAGACCCTGATGTTTAGTTCAAAATGAAACGTAAGAAATTTATATTTCACAATGAACAAATTGCTGGGGTAAAAGTGTATCCACATATAACTTTTGACTTAATAGTTTGAGAATAATATACTCCCTAGAAAACTTGAAGTTCCTCATTTCGATCCACAGCTGTGCCGTTAGTATGCACCTCTGAGTAGTCGAAATTTGAGACAAAACATCTTACAGTTCACTACGATCTTCAATGGATATTTAATCGATGTCCGTTAATGACGCGCATTATTTTCAAAAGTCCACTGGTGCCGATGAATAAGTATACGTAATTTTTAGTAAGATGTAGAAATTAACATCATATTATGGTGTGTGCTACTGAAGTTGACAGATATAAGTAGTATGTATCATCAATCGAAAGTGAAATGTCTGGCGGCACAAAAATTATGGTCGAAGGAAATAGAACAAGAACAGAGAATGATCGGTTTGGAAGTGAAGGAACACTGAAGTCTGAGACGATTGATTGACATTTTGCAAATGAAACATTTACTGTATGGTTTTCATATTTTACCTAAGGTATTCTGTCATTTTATGTTCATATACATTCAATTGTCCCCATTTGTGTTCTTGTTCATTACAATACAATATCACTCAATCTTTTTAGTTATGCATAAAATTCACATGCCTAAAAGACAAGCAACACAATTACTGAGTTTCTTATTACTTAAATTAATATAAACTATGCAAGTTACAATGAAAATATTATTGAATCATATGAATTATCACATACCTATCAGATGAATAATATTCTTGACCATATTGTAATAAACGCCACATATTAGTTCTTTCATTTTCAGATTTATAATTTGCAGTAACTACAACATTACTAGAAATTTTACCAAGATTACAAGTGATCCAGTCATGAACTTCAGCACGTCGTCCATCAGGACATAATATTTCATAATTATCTTCACGTAAATCACGAGCCCAAAAATTTGGATTTCTATGATGTAAGAATTGAAATGAACATCAGTTTTATACAACCAATACAAGAACAATCTGGAGGTACCTGAAAAGAAATTGGATTAGAAGTGGTCTCAGTGACCTGAGAGCGTGACCGCAGTGCCCAAGGGACAACTGCTTGAGGCCGGTCGCGCACGGCCTTTCCGTGGGAGGTTTTTGACGTGTTAGCTCCGTTCTTCAAAGGGCCTTACCGCCGGAGACGGAAATCCGTGAGGTAAGGTGAGGTGCGCATTTTTAGGGTCGACCTTTTCTAACCCCACTCCTCCTTGTGGGAAGGCAGCATCGCTGTCATGCTGGTTGTCTGAAGGAAATACCTTACTGCTGTCACACCTCTGTACAGTCAGCAGTACGACTTCGCCTTCGGACCTTGGGTTTGTTGCTTTTAGTCTTACCGCTCTTCAACCGACCTGTCTGACATGGTAGGACCTTGAGGAACGGTTGTTCCAGCCAGTATAGCTCGGTTGCTTCATCACGATAGGCAAGCCCGACCACCACATCAAGGTAGCAACAACGGTCGGGAATACAAAAACAATAAATTTTGCTGATTCAAAATGAATTTTATTCTATTTGATAACCCCTCTCATTAGTTTAAAACAACCTGAAATTACAGGAAGTAAATATGTTTATATAAACTAAAACTTAGCAATAATTAAGTCACCAAAGCTGATGAACGTTTGTCAAGACGATACCAAAAATCCTAAGAAGAACAAAATACAAAATCTGTGACTTAGCATAATTAATATTGATACTCAGTTACATGTTCAAAACATGAAATAATAATAATAGTAATAATAACACGGAATAGAAGGGTGATATTTTTGTTATCAGTGATGAAATGTAATAAAATGGTGATGACATGGAACAAATAGACCCCATCCTTCATCTTTACCTACATGAACACTAATTAGTGGTAAATGCCAAGACATATCTTCCTTGTATTAATGCATGTGGACAACTGAGGACATATATTTGATTGGGAAAATGTTGAGATCTTGGATAAATGGAATACTAAAAGTGCAAAAGGAGTTTTAGAAGTTTGGCATTCAGATCATTCATGAATCAACATACACATCGAAATCGATCCAATGTATCAATCAATCAGAAAAAATCATGGACAAAAATAGGACCAAGAATCAAGTCACAGAGAGAGATACAATTAAAATAAGCAGGTTGACAATGACAGGTTAAAATTCAATAAAAACCAGTCAAGATCGAGGTCGATACGACAAGCTGGGTCATATGTGGAGAAATTCGAACATTTCACTCCTAGTTGAAGGTTTTTCTGATGATTTTGTTCGGAAGAACAATGAGAGCTCTACCAGTAAACTATCCAGTTTAAAGAACAAGACTTCGCCTTAAGTTTTATCATGTTACCTTTCTGTAAACATAAGTCGAATCGGAAGTAGTTGATAGCAATTGTATCTGTGAAACGTAGTAAAATAGATTTTAATTGTTTGTTAATTACTTTGAATGCATAACTGATATTGACCTTATGTACACTATCCATTAGGTGCCTATATACTTGCTACCACAGGTGTATGTTAATTCAGATATGCAATTGGTGGCGTTAGAAATGTATTGAATAGCTCAATGTAAATCTGATGTTATATAGTTAAACCAATTGAGTTGGAGGTAAGCTTCATTCTCTCATCACTCTTATTTGTTCATTAACCTTTCCTGAAATTTCATCTTTGAATGAAAGATGGATGAGGAAAGGCTTTTTACCATATCAGTTGTTTACGATATTTAGGGCACTTCTTTACATATTCTCCAATAAATTTCTTTAGGCATCTGTTTTTTATAGGGCTCTCTTGGATAACTGCAAGTTTGTCACTTATTCTGTTGTTTGAGCCTAGAAGTTTAGTTCGGTTAAAGTGTTTTGACTGGACATCATTTATAAATTTCAGGAAAAAAGCTGTTGCAGTTTAAGTATTGCCCTGTTCACATTCCTTTCTTATATACGATTTTTTCCATAGTCTCACCGTTTCTTTATCTTGCACTAAGATCTGGAAAAACCGATTGACTCTCTTGTTCATGTTTATTTGTACAGTTTGTGTTTGGATGAGGATTAATGAAAGTGTAGAACAAACGAGAAGTACAACTCACCATCACTAATAATAACACTATTATCTACATACCTGGAATGGTATGTCGTGGTGTGGAATTCATATTTACGTTCTGTTTATTGTAGATCAACCATATAAATGTCGGTCAAACATTAGTTCATAGAGAGCAAGAAATCAGTTATAGGACTTAGTAGGTAAGTGGATGACGCGATGCCACTTGAATTGAACGGTACTGGGTTCGAGTCCCAGAGGGAACGTTAACTCTGAGATGCAGGTGCATCCAGCTGACGAGTCACAAATAAAACGAAACGCGCGTCAAATTGGATTCCATCGTTAACCACCATCTATTCTTGCTTAAAATGCTTGTGACTTAAGGTAATATCGAGGCAGTACGCACACGATGCACATATGGCAATAAGACAGTGATCAATCGCAGTCCTAAACAACAATCGGAAGATGCAAGTGAACAACACAAAATGAGTTTAAAATTATATCATTTTAAATATTGATTAACCAAAACATCAGCTAAGTGATTAAACGTCGTTTTACTACCATCACGTTTCATTATAACCATTTGTTAATATTGAATATTTAAAGATCCCTATCAAATGAAAAGACCAATATTTGAAAGAAGAATATTCTTAATGATGGATAGTGGCTAGCAGTGGAATCCAGGAGGCGCGTTTCGTCCTATTTGGCACTCGTCAGCTGGATGTACCTGCATCTCAGAGTTGATGTTCACTCTGGGACTCGAACCAAGTACCATTCGCTTGAAACGTCACTATCTACCATTGCTTACAAATAACTTGTCAATTAAGGTAATATCGAGGCATACGCACAGTATGCACATATTGCAATAACAGACTGATCAATTGCAATCTTAAATCTCAATGGGAAGATACAAGCCAAACAATATCAAGTGAAGAATATTCTTTTCGATAAATTCTCTTCAGGTTCAACAACTCATATATCTAAATTAATAATCCGAAAAATGGACAGGTTAAAGGTAAAGAGGATTGTTTCAAGTTAAAGCATGTGAATTGTAGGATTGTCATGTTGATATGAATTGCATAGAATGTTAACAACTTGAACCTGCTTATATGTTAAATGATCATTTAAGATCCATGATCTTAATTAATATAGATCAGATAGAGTGATAAAGAAATAATAATACTGTTATGACCTTGATCCTGTCTACTCTAGATTAAGACCTTGACGTAATAGGCTGGCCGGTTTAACCTCGAGGCTGGTACGCGTGAGTTCGAGGTGGGGGGGGTAGAGAGAAGAAAACTATTTTAGCACCTGATTGGCTGGCAAGCACACAAATAAGAGAAGACAAAACAACAGTTGGAACACTATTGGCTGTATTGCGATATCCTGATTTCCTGTGAAATCTCTGAATTCAGATTTGTGCAAAAAGGTAAATGAACAAATAGGTGACTAATCCGACCACAACGTACCATAATTAGGAAAAATACAGTCATGTCCAAAACTGGGAATTTGGGTAGAAAAATAAGGTGTAAAATATTATGTTTAAATTACAATAGTTTCGGAACAAAAAAAGGGTATGGCAATGAATGACACATCGAATGAAAGCTCATGTTCTGTAGAATAGAATAGGGACAAAAATAAATGTCAGTGTTTCACAAGCTTTAAATAAAATGAAATAACGTCCCGACAAAATAACTATCGTCGTTTGTCAGGGCTTCTTATTTCCCTGTTCACAACAATGACAATTCAATTAACATGAACAATTTTATTTAACAATCTTAAATTCACATATTCTATAACTTTAAAACGATACACTTTGCCCTAAACTTAATCAATTTTATAGATTATGAATTTGGATATATCAATTGTAGAATAAGAAAAGAGAATTTTCACAGATTGAAATCATGAGTCAATTGAAGTTAGACCACCATTGAAAACCTGGAAGCACTGGACGGCTGTTTCGTGGATGCGCACTGCTGAGGAGTCCCATACTAGGATGAAACGGTCGTCCAGTGCTTCCAGGTTTTCAATGGTGGTCTAGCTTCAACTGACTCATGATTTCAATCTGTGAAAAAGAGAATTTATCGAAGAGAAAAAAGTTTTTATATTTAGTAGATCTTTTCCTGAATACACATACCAATCCAGTTGGCAAGGGGTTGTTGTTTTTTTTACATTTTTTACTTTTTGATTTTTCAAAATGTTCATCGGTAATAAAAATGATATTTGGAAAATACAACAATTTACTATGAATGAAAAAGAGAAGATTATCACTTCAGTGAAATGTTTTAAGTAGTGTCACTTTCTTTCATTTCGCTAAAAGGCAGGCTTTCACTCGAGAACAACTAAATTTTCTCCATGAGTGTCTTCGCCAGCATGTAGTGTCATTTTCTTTCATTTGTGTAAGTACATGACATATACATTGTAACTGAAAATTAACTTTGAACTAATTTCAGGAAAGGTTTTGTAGAGATTATAGTAATTTTAATAGTTGAGATCGTGAGTCCATTGAGGAATGAAACAGCCATCCAGTGATTCCAGGTTTTCCATGGTTGTCTAGCTTTGACTGCTTCATGATCTTAACTATTAAAATTACTATTCGTTCTTATAATGATGAATATATATATATATATAACTTATCATGGCCAACAAATCATATAATCATAGAACAATAACACAAAAGAGTCAATCATATAGCAACTAGTGAAAAAAAGTAAAAATCAGAATAGTAATCTTCATAATAAAAATAACTGATTACATAATTAAAATAATAGACAATGATGGATTATGGTTAGCAGTGGAATCCAGGACGCGCTTTTCGGGCGAGACTCTAATTTAGGGACGAGCCAATCAGAAGCGTTTGAGCAATTTCGAGGTCACGGGGCCAAGTTCAACACGCAATGCTAACATACGATCGGTTCACAGCGTATTTTAGAGAGTAGGTGATTAATGAGAGGTTACAATAGATGGGACGTCGAGACTTTAATTTAGGGACGAGCTAATCAGAAGCGTTTGAGCAATTTCAATTATTAGTCAATAAGAAGACAGCATAAAGTAAAAATATATTGAAAGAAAGTAATGAATTACAGCGGATATTCTTCTTTTACATGATTTAAAGACTCGTATGTTAGCATCCTAACCCTAACCCTCACCTTAACCCTCAACTAACCCTAACCTTAACCCTAAACCCTAACCCTAACCGTAAACCCCAACCTTACCCGCAAACCTAACCCTAACCCAATGGACGAGTTTCTATTCCATATGTATCGTGAATTCAAAACCTCTGAACCTTAATCAAACTTTAACAAGTTTTTAAATCATGTAAAAGGAGAATATCCACTGTAATTCATTACTTTCATATAATATATTTTCACTTTATACTTTCTTCTGATTGGCTAATAAATGTCAAGGTCACTTAAGATTTGTTCAAAGGTCGTCCTTAAATTAGAGTCTCGCCGCTTTTCGTCCAGTTTGGGTCTCGTCAGCCAGATGTACCTACATCACAGAATTGATGTCCGCTCTAGGACTCGAACTCAGTACCATCCGCTTCAAACACCATCGCGTTATCCACTTAGCTATTGAGTCCTGATAGCCACTTGCTTGTGCAATGGGGTGAAGTTTAATTCACTTGGTATTGTTTTACTCGAATCTTCCCATTGATATCCCAAACAGGACGAAACGCGTGTCTTGGATTCCACTGCTAGCCACTATCCATCTTTGCTTATAATGCTTGTAAATTAGGACAATATCGAGGCATACGCACAGTATGCACATATGTCAATAAGAGACTGATCAATTTCAGTTCTAAAAACATCAATGAGAAGATTCAAGTAAAACAATACCAAGTGAATTAATTAAAATAATGATTAAAAATTCAATGTATCTTGCAAAAAAAGTGGAGATTCAATAATGAGTGTAGTATCTATTTGTACTTTTATTGATAAAATTGATAGGGTAGAATGAAGTGAGAATTGATGTAAATTATTATGGAGAAAATTTAATTCTCATATACTAGATTGTTTTAAAAACTGATACAATCTATTTTTTATTTTATTTATTTAAACACATAAACATTGGTACAAGGAGGCACCAAACAGATATGCGCCACATAAATCATTCAATTTGTGTGAAGGCTAGGATGCTGCCCGAGTGCCCAGATCGAAGCAGGTGGTTCTCTTAGGGGGCCCCACCCCGAGCCTCTGCCATAAAGGTCTAACCCACAAGGCAGTGGAGCATCGTGAGGAGATGGAATCCCATGGTAGCCGGTGACCAATGATTGGTTCATACACCATTTGTTCCCTCAGGATACTGGAGCCCATGTGCACCATTGGTTTGGAATCCGGTTAAAGCGCCGGATATTCGTTTTTCGTCCTCTCATTTTCGTAAACAACACCCGTGTTGCGAGAAGGCAATGAGTAGGACTTCCCTGTCAGAGACTGTATACGCGTGGCCGTGTGAGAGCATTTCGAGACAATCTATAGGATATTTCATATCACATTGAAAGGAACATTAAAGAAAACTTATGAAACAATTATTTTAGTTTTGTGAAGAACAATCTGAGGTGAAGGTGAGTGTTGTTTAGTTTTATCCTTCTCTGTGTTCATCACTTTATATATAGAGAGAAACTCTTCTCCATCGTTCTGAATATATTTGTCAGAAATATTAGGCTATAAAGAATATAGATAAACAACATGATGTTTATCATTGTCCTGATAGCGGATATGAGATCAAAGGCTTAAATTTATTCACAATAAACAATAAGAAGATAATTATAATTATTCCACTTTATATAAAGGATCAGTTGATCTGTTCAAAAAGGATACATCTTCAACAAATGACATAACATTTATGACTTTGCTCATGAAGTTGTTTAATGATTTATTTATTCTATTTCATCTGGTTTAATCTACTTTCAATATTGTACTATTATTTCAATAGTTATCCTTTAAGATTCTTTGTAAATTATTCAATGAACATTTCTTCAAATATCTACTATTTAGTTTATTCGGTTTATATCTCTAAAGGTGATATTCAAGACGTGGATTTCTTGTAACATCAATATCAGATCTAAACAATCAACTTAGATGTATATTTGGCAATAGACTGATAAACTACAGTCCTGAATGTCAACGATGAAATATTACAAACACTTACCAATGGATTTCATTTTTTATGGAAAATTCCATTCTGTCTATTGACTTTGAGGCCTTTCTACTTCATTTTTTAAAAATCTAAGTATTCATTATATTATCGTACAAAGAATTAACCATTCAATTATTCATTACATCTATCACAACTAGTAATGATAAGCCTCCCTTTTATATCATATTCAGTGTAAATCAATATATATTCTGGTTATTAATACATAAAAACTATGGGTTTATGAAGGTTTGTCCAGTTCAACGATAGTTTCCGTCAAGAAATGATATTCATTGAAAAATGCCGGGGATCGAAAGTAACTTTTGCTACCGATTAATTATTTTCAGATTAGTAAGAAGATTTTCTTCTGGTTAGCGTTTTTTTAGCGAGTTAGTTTTCTACGAGATGGGGTCGCTAACCCCATGCCCAACCCCCCACCTTTATCCGGCCTTGGGACCGGCAGTAGCCCCCGGAGGGACTCCAGGCGGAGCAACAACCTACTGTGGGAAAGAAAAAACCAGATCCGAGTGGAGGAAGAAATCAGGAAGAAGCACTGGAAGTGGATAGGACACACATTGAGGAAAGCACCGAACTGCGTCACAAGACAAGCCCTCACATGGAATCCTGAAGGCCAAAGAAGGAGAAGAGGAAGACCAAAGAACACATTACGCCGAGAAATGGAAATAGACATGGGAGAAATAAACAAGAATTGGATGGAACTAGAAAAGAAGGCCCAGGACAGAGTTGGTTGGAGAATGCTGGTCTGCGGCCTATGCTCCATTAGGAGTAACAGGCGAAAGTAAGTAAGTAAGTAAGAAGATAATAGGTATACTATATTTTTAATTTTAGATGATTCATGATGTAGTAGCATTGTTTTTAAGATTAAAATTATGTAGAATACATGTTTTAAAACTAACCTCCCACCAGTATTTGTATGAACTGTTGTATGCCGTGCAAATGCAATATCTGCACCTTCTATTAAACATCTAAATGCACCAGCATCTCCATAATACAACTCTAAATTATTTCGACGACATCTGTCAGCATTGCCACCAGTGCATAATTCACAAAGATTTAATGAATTTGTTCCAGTACGATCATATGCTTTGTTTAGTATTCCAGGTATACAAGCTCGACTAATTAGTTCACCTGGATTATAACAAAAAGAATCATTCGTGAATTTAGTTATTATATGAATATAGAAAGAATCAAAATATAGGTAAATCGACGTCATTTAGTTATTCATGCAATAGTTTAGTCTTCATTATGATAAGAAATTACTATTGAACATAAAAAGCAAATTACACTGATTATTATCAAATATCAGAAGGGATTTTTGTAGATATTAAAGTAATTTCAATAGTTGAGATCACGAGTCAATTGAAGCTAGACCATCATGGAAAACCTGCAAGCACTGGACGGCCGTTTCGCCTTATTGTGCGACTCCTTATCAGGGTGCATCCACAACCCCGCCTCACGAGATTTGAACCCAGAACCTATCAGTCTCGCGCGGACGCTTAACCTCTAGACCACTGAGGCAGCCGGTATCCAACGGTGTTAATATCTAATTTCAACTAATCCATGAAATTGAGCGACACATCCATCAGTGTCTTCAGTGAGTTACTATCTCACAACAGACCAGGTTGAAATCCACTGGTCACCGCTTCTCACTAAAACTCCAGGAAATACCTCTTGAAGCCAGTCATTAGCGAGCATATGTTGATCAGTATCAGAAGGAGTTTTTGTGGATATTGTAGTAATTTCAATAGTTGATATCATGAGCCAACTGAAGCTAGACCATCATTACTGAATAATTAGCATTTTATGCTAGTCATTTATTTAGGTGTAAATTGCAGCTAGAATAGTTGAAACATACAAATTTGAATCCTCAATTGAATATGAATTACATTGAGTATAACAAGAAACGTTTATAATAGTTGGTTACATACATAGAGATTGAGTTCAAACACAATCTTTAAACATTCAATATTTATGTTAGTTATACAACAGAATAGCATGAAAACGCCTATATTGAATAAACACCCGATTAACAAAAATTCAATCATTGTAATCTAGATCGATTTCCATTGAAGAAACTTTATAATTTCAATCATGATAGTGAAATAAAACGACTTTTCTTTCTCCTTTAATTAAAATTACATTTTATATTGATTTACAGTGAAAACCACTTCAAGTCCCTTGTTTTTATTACAACTAATAGAAGTTTAAGATTTCTGGACAACTTTTTGTTCAAGTGTTGAATTACTTACTTACTTACGCCTGTTACTCCTCGTGGAGTAGCATAAGCCGCCCAACAGAGAGTGTTGAATATTTACTTTTAAAAAAGTAATCACTATATTTAAACTTGAAATGTGACATTTTCTTTATAGAATAATAATATTACTGTTTTATCACAAAAGGCTATTTATTAAGTAGACTAGTTTCCTATAAACTGACTAATGGAATTTTGTATAAAATCGATCAAATCATTAAGTCAATTATTCAATCATTAATACGAATGATTATTAATTACATTTTCCAACAATTATAATGTACAGTAGTTATTACCTATGAAAATGTATATCAAAGTATGGGACTTTATACTTATTTTGATAAAGTTTTGTTCTTTCAGTTGGATGGTCTGGTTGTGGAACTTTCAGTACATTGAAATCGATCCAATATACCAACCAATCAGGGAAATTATGCACAAACATAGGAACAAAAATCAAACAAATGGAAGACACAACCAAAACAAAGAATTAAACAATGACAAGTTTAAGGTCAACAAGAACCAATCAACATCGAGGTGTACAGGACAAGGTGTGAACACACATATGGAGAAATTCGAACACTTCACTTTTATCTGAAGTTTGTGCTGATGATGTCGTTCAGAAGAACGATGAAAGTTCTGCTAACAAACCATCCAGCTTAGAGAGCAAAACTCCATCACCTGAGCTACAACCCTTCCCCACTCTATACTTACTTAAGCCAAAGAATGCCCTGGTACGACCGAGAGTGGAAAGAGTTAGTTTTCCCTCTTGAAATGCTTTCGTATGGCCACGCGTACACATCCACTGCCAGGAAAGTCCTATTCACTGCATTCTCGCTGCACCGGTGTTGTTTACGAAATTAAGAGGACAAAAAGTGAATGTCTAGTGCTTTAACCGGGTTGGTGAACACGGAGAGTTCACCTAGGCGAGTTGGAAAACCCAGATTCAAAACCAATCGTGTACATGGACCCCAGGATCATGAGGGAACAAATGGAGTATGAACCAACCGTTCGTCACCGGCTACCATTAGACTGAATCTGCTGATGTTGCTCCACTGCCTTGTGGATTAGACCCATAGGTCAAAGGCTCGGGATGTGGCCTCTTAAGAAAACCACCTGCTTCGATTTGGGCACCCGAGCAGTATCCTAGCCCCCACACAAATCGAATGGTTTATGTGGCGCATATCTATTTTGCACCTCGTTGTACCAATGTTTATATGTTCAAATAAAAACAAAATAATTATACTTACCGTGAAACTTCATGAATTATCATAAATATTGTTCATTTTTCTTAAATATGAAGTATCGGCATACTTTTTCATAATTAGAAATTAAAATACTTAACTGACAGCTTGTGCAACATACAAACTGTAACTTTATCATAAATATCAGTAGGAGCTGGTCAACTGTCGTAATTTTCACTTGTACTCTTTAGTTCTGTTGTATATATATTTTTTAACTCGTCTATGATAATGGCAAGCTTGATGTGGTATTTTAGACAGAGAAGGAGTCCTTAGAACAAACCAGTAGGACTACATAAAGTGTTCTGTAAAATTAATATGAGTTTTGTCATGAAACAGCCTTTCACTGAGGTTTATAAACCGAGTACTACTAGATAATATATATCCACTTCGTTCGTGAGAATCAAACTGGATGTAAGTGCACTACATTTTTCTGTTACCTTTCGTGTAAGTGATCAATCATTTGTGCATATATCAGTCCTATGGGAGATCACTAGCCATCCAAATAGCTCAGCCGTAATAACTCAAACCGTGAAACTGATTGGCATAAGTTCGAATCTCACTGGAAGTTTTGGTTCATAGGATATTACAGGTGCGCACTGTTGATGAGTGACAACTAGCATGAAGCATAGGCATAAGGTTTCTTATATACAACCTGCAAATACCCAAACGAATCATTATAAGAAATCTGAAAGCAAACGCTGTTATTTAACTTCAACTTTATTCAACTAATTCATTTGGCTGTGATTTAACAAGCAGATAAATATAGGTCATTGCTAAGAGATTTCAATGTTAACAATTTTTCGCTGTATACATGTTGGAGAGCAGTTGCACCATATATTTCATAATGCTAAAAGATATATAATGGCAGCGAAGGATTAAAATAATCAGATAAGTAAGCTGATAATCATATATCATAATTCAATGAAATTTCTCACCAAATGCATGAACTAAATGTCCATCCAGTACAATTACTTGTCTTGTATCCAGGACCGTATTCAAGGAATGATCATCCAGCTGCTTTACCTACACCACTATGACATGTACGACGATGACGCCAATTCGAAATTAATAAACCAGGATTTACTTTTTCAACTATAGCAACTGCGTAATAGAATGGTCCATTACCATAATTTCTATCAAAAAATGAAAAAACAATTTCTGTAATTAAGGTATACTACTTATAAGTAGACTGACGACATTGAATGATGTAAGGAAATTTTACGACTAAGCAATTCTCCTTTCTATGAGATCATTAATACATTCAGTCGAAGATATTTTGAAATCTATCTTCTGTTTATCATTTGTTTGCGTACGAATAATCATTCATACTTCTGTTTATGTGTATTTGCACGGATAATTACAACCATTTCCATAGTACCAACAGAATTTCGATAGTGTAGTAAGAAGACGAAGATTATCAGAACTATGTGATGATATGTTGGCTCAATATATTTCAGACAATCTGATCACACATATAGTTGTTAATAACATTTGTATATAAAAATAAAAAGCCAACTACACTAGAAATGGAGGGTGAAAGGTGACATGGATAATAAATAAATAATGTGAAAACAATTTGAAACTTCAACACTCTGGATAATAAGTTAATATTACCAAGGCAGAACTGTTTATTGAAAACGAAAAATTAATTTAACAAAATTTATATGCTTGTGTTAGTCAGATATTAAAATTTCGTTCTCTGTCTTTTTAAATGGTGAGAATTTCCGGCTACTCAATTGTTATCTTGTCCTCAAATCCCGTGGTATGGCCGAGAGTGGGAAGAGTCAACTCTCCCTCTCGAAATGCTCTCACATGACCACGTGCATACAAACACCAACAGAGAAGTCCTACTCACTGCACCGGTGTTGTTTACCAAATTCAGAGGACAAAAAGCGAATAACCGCTGCTTTAACTGGGTTGGTGAACACGGAGAGTTCACCTAGGCGAGTTGGAAAATCATGATTGTAAACTATTGGTGCACATGGGCTCCCGGATCCTAAGAAAACAAATGGCGTATGAACCAACCGTTGGTCACCGGCTACCATTAGACTACATCTCCTGACATTGCTCCACTGCCTTGTGGGTTAGACTCATAGGTCAAAGGTTCGGGATGTGGCCTCCTAGTAAAACAACCTACTTCGGTCTGGGCACCCCGAAAGTATCCTAGCCCCCACATAAACCGAATGATTTATGTGGCGCATATGTATTTGGTGCCTTTTGGTACCTATGTTTATGTGTTTAAGTAATAATAACTTGTCGTTAGTTAGTGTTTATTTTGGGAAGAACATGATTAGCCAGACATCGATTCGTAACCACACACTTTAATATCTTGTAGCGTAATTCGAAGTGTACTGTTTACGTGATGATAACATTTCAGTATTGTGTGGTAAACTAATGGACCAACGACTAGTATAATTTACGATTATTTTCTGTCATAATATTTTAATAAATGTAGTGGTTAGAAGAATACTGAACTGCACTAACGTTTTTAACTGGGAAATTACTATTAATGATAACAACGTTGATCAGTGAAATCATGCTTCCATTGGTAATGTCATTCATTTAATTTTCTACGTAATAATAACTTGAAACATAAGAGTAACTGTGAAAGTTTAGGGGAATTAAACTAGTATTCCACAGATTAATTCTGTCCATATGAACTCCAAAAGATGAAGAAAAAGTCAAATGTAGGAGGAATATCTATTGAAAGTTTTTATTACGTAAATGAATAGGGGTATGTTTTCCCAACCATTGCATTTATTTGATGTAAGAAGGAGTCAAAATAATAAGTTATCAGTAAATACTAACCCTGTTAACTATTATATCCCAATAAGAATAATGAATGGTAACTATTGGGATTCATTTATGGACCAATACTATGCGTATATTTTTATCGTATAATTTTAAGTCACTGAACTATTCATATTCATAATCCTCTTATCACAAGCTTTATTTTGATCTATGGACTATTATTATGCGATTCACCATCCTTGAATTATGCCCTGTCTATCAATTACTATCTCCCTTATTCACAGCCACATTTGGCTAATTCTTGTACAAGTGTTGTTTCCTATTTTATAGTACGATGTGGTCTGTTTGGTTGGTATATAAACCCAGTATGTTTGAAATAAATGATTCACATCACAGAGGCTGAGATTGGTGTTCTGGACTTAACAGGAGGGGCTAGACAGGAAGCAGGACCGATAAGGACTCTGAACTGCTGTACGGGTTTTATGCGTCATTGATCCGATAGATAAATCACTGTTCTCTAATTGGCGGTATCATTACGTATACATTAATAGGACACAGGGCACAGAATATAACATTAACCAAATTTCTTAAAAGATCTTACTCTGAAACAACTGGAACTAAATCAAAATATTTTCCAGCTATATACAAATCACCAGCTTCTAATGTAACCATATCTGCATAACCATCTTTGATTAATTTCATACAATCAATTGTTGAATTAGCTTGCAAACAAAACATTTCTGGTTGAATACGTTTTGCAGAGAATGCACTAGACATACGTTGACATTTAGACATTTCAAATTCATCAATTACACACCATCCAAGCGTAGGAAGTGGACATGATTCTAATTTTTCTAGAGCTTTTTTAAATGAAGGATCTTGTATATGAAAACAACAAAAAAATAAATATATGATAAAAGGAATGTTAAATAAGATATGGTAAACGACACAGAGAAGAAAGAAGAAACATCCTAAAGAAGAAACTGATCAAGATCTCGAAACCACCCATGGAAGAAAATACAAACAACTGAGTGGTCAACTTGTCAAAGCAATCACGAAGAAATACGGAAGAACACCTACTCCGAAAGGGATTAAGCTAAAACTGACGCCTTAAAACAAGGCTTCATTCTGATCACCTTAGAGTGCTTTGTATATTGGTTTTAATTGCTTTTATCTACTGTTTTGACGTATTAAACATTTATCTAATTTAAGATGTAGTTTTAAGGTAGTTTTTTGTCAAATAATAAAAATGTAGATAAAATTCTCAACTCAATGTAATTTGTTTACTCTATTATACCAAAAATTGACTGATTATATACGTTTTAGGGGTCATGTAGCAAGTTTCATATATTTGGAATGGAATACGTTTCACTCCAAAATGGTCTATATTTCTCATTGGTTTTCGAAGTTGGTTAACTAACATATGTTCATGATAAAAACTACCTTCAAAACATAACTCAATACTTAGCAAGTTGGGCTATGTTTTCTGAAAGGATCGTGTTTATTGTTCACTCGGGAAGGTGGTTAGCTATTGAGTTGTGCCAGTGAAGTTTGGATTTCATAAACAGACGTACAAGAAACTTCTCAAGTTGATAAATTTCCAAAGACCCTGGAAAACCTTACACGCGATGTAAACCTAATAGAAACTAAATAGTCCACTAGATCATGATTTAACATTCGTTTAGATAAGTTTTCAGGGTTCTATGAAAGAAATGCTGTATTACAAAGATTCCAAGTGATGCCCAGGCAAACGGTATCTAAAAGCTTGAAAGCAAAATCGATTCGACCGCACAAAGCCCACGTACGCTTCGTACAGATACTAATTAAATTATTCAGAAAGTGAGACAGCTGAGTCAACATACAGCACTGAAATATCTGGGTTTTTTATGAAACTTAATTATCATAGTCTAATAACGAGTTTGCAGTGTAAAAGTGAAACATATAGAGTGAAAATAAACAAGATCATTTACCAATCCATCGATAGTAAGTTTCAGTTTCGGTTACAGGAGGAATATAAATATTTTTTGTATGATCAGAAAACATTAAATGATGTGTAGCATTGTTCCCACTGACAGTTGTATAACCAGCTGATGAGAATAAATTGAACGATGACACACTAGTTCCACTCGGACCAAAATTCTGAACCAACAACTCAAGAAAATCTGTGTACACAGTTACATCATTTGAATTAAACTCGTCATAATCATACGAGATGGAATTTTACCCCAATTACAGTTTGCAGATGAAGAGATGTTGGCTGTCCACATCCCACTAATAAAGAGCAAAAAAACAAGTCGTGGAGCCATTATTAAACTAACCATTGTCATTATGATAATGGAACGTTAATTCTAAAAATGTAGTACTACAAATAAGGATTCAAGATCTACGAAATTTTATTACATTTATACTTTTATACCAAGAAGTCTAAATAAATATATGCTTTTGGATAGAGCACAATGCGAATGATCATCTTAAAAGATGTACTACACCATAAAAAAAATCCAAAACTGTTTGGTAAAGTGTTGGTCGATTATCATCAGACTGAGGGTGTAACGTTTTAATAATTAAATCCTTTCAAAGTTACTCATTGTAATTGCTTACGACAGCTTCTACTAAAGCCAAGTTATTTCGTTGGTTAGCTAAGAAACTTAATTCATAACGCAATGAAGTGGATAGATATTCATCTGTTATTATATGTAAAAATTCTAGAAGAAAAACATCTAGTCTAGAGTTATTTCATGACAGATAGGGGTGGTAAGAGTAATAACAGTATCAGTAGTAGTGCGTTGAGTGCTACTAACAAGATCGCTCATAAGTAATATATAGCGGAACGTAACGTGGAAGCTGTCACATTCGACAGATGAAGAGAAGAGTTTCAGTATCACAAAAGGCAATGTGTAGGGAAAAATCTTGAGGACCAGAAGAGAAAACAGTTCATAACTAGCTAGATTGTGGGGCGCACCGCTAGATGCAAATGAATGACCGAAGGCTATATGTACATATTAGGTAAACACTCCATGATTTGACTACATAAAAAGTGAGAAAGATTAGATATAGAAAAAGAAGTAGGTACAAGAAGATCATTAGGCTCAGGTTTTTGGGAATACAAGGAGTGCTTGGATATGCACTATTATGAACGATACTGAACCATATCTCCTAAACTTCATTGCTTACTGTTATATACAGAGCTCATATTCTTGATATACCACGTACAACTTGAGCACTCAAACGCTAGAACCCTCCGAGTCGCAAATATGAAGACAGAAGAAGAGTGAGAACGAATGCTATTCCAAACAGTGTCAAATATGGTACGAAACTTTTAGATATTTATAGTTTATGGTTGAAAGCAAAATCATCATTATAGTCATCTAATCCACATGCAAACTCCGCCAGGAGCCCCTCAGAGGCTACTGCCGGTCCCAAGCCCGGTAAAGGAGGAGGGTTGGGCATGGGGTTAGCGACATCGCCCTGTAGAAGACTAACTCACTAATAAATGCTAACCAGAAAAAATAATTCAAACCTTTTAAACTCTGCCCTGAGAGTTAGAAAGTCTTCATTAAGAAGAACTGTGACGCCTCATGGTGAAGGCTGAGTTCTTTCGGAAGTCACGAGGCTGATGCTCCTTCTGACAATCAAAGCAACTATTAATTTAGGTACATGAAATGCTCATACAATATGGGAAACCAGAAGAGCTTTTGAAATTGTTGCAGAAGTGAAGAGATACAACCCAGAGGTGCTTGAAATCAGAGAAACACATTGGACGCAAGTAGGACAACAACGACTAACTTCAGGGGAGCTTCTGTTATACTCCGGCCATGAAGAAGAAAATGCCCCACATACACAATGAGTTGCATTGATGCTATCCAAACAAGCACAAAATTCACTTATAGGATGTGAATCTCATACACTAAGAATCATCAAAACCTCCTTCAAAACAAAGAAAGAGGGCATTTCAATGAACGTCATCCAATGCTATGCGCCTACCAACGACTACAATGAAGACGTTAAAGATCAATTATATGATAGGCTGCAGTCAATCATCGAGAAGTGCCCAACAAAGAAATTGACCATTCTGATGGGAGACCTAAATGCCAAGGTTGGAATGGACAACACTGGATATGAAAACATCATGGGACGACACGGACTGGGAGAAAGGAACGAAAATGGTGAGAGATTTGCAAACCTATGTGCCTTCAATAAACTGGTCATAGGCGGCACTATATTCCCAGATAAACGCATTCACAAAAACACATGGACTTCATCGGACCACACCACGCAAAACCAAATCGACCATATCTGCGTCAGCAAAATGTTCAGGAGGACGATGGAGGATGTGAGAACCAAGAGAGGAGTTGATATAGCATCAGATCATCACTTGCTGGTCGCCAAGATGAAATTGAAACTCAAGAAGCACTGGACAATGGGGCGGACAACATCACAAAAGTTCAATACGGCCTTTCTTCGGGATACTGACAAACTCAACAAATTCAAGATAGTCCTCAGCAATAGATTCCAGGCCTTTCATGATCTACTCAATGGAGAAGGAACTACTGTGGAGAGCAACTGGAAGGGGATCAAAGAGGCAATCACTTCAACATGTCATGAGGTCCTGGGTCACAAGAAGCACCACCACAAGGAATGGATCACTGTTGATACACTCGATAAGATTCAAGAAAGAGGAACAAGAAGGCAGCAATCAATACCAGTCGAACAAGAGCAGAAAAAGCCAAGGCACAAGCTGAATACACAGAAGTAAACAAACAAGTGAAGAGGAGCATCAGAACCGGCAAACGTAAATATGTGGAAGATTTAGCAACGACGGCGGAAAAGGCTGCAAGAGAAGGAAACATGAGACAACTGTATGACACGACAAAGAAACTCTCTGGAAATCGCCGCAAACCAGAACGACCAGTGTAAAGCAAGGAAGGCGAGGTAATCACCAACATTGAAGAACAACGAAACAGGTGGGTAGAAAACTTCAAAGAACTCTTGAATCGACCAGCCCCACTGAACTCACCCAATATCGAAGCAGCACTCACGGACCTCCCAATCAATGTTGGCCCACCAACTGTGATAACTACAGAGGCATCACTCTTCTCTCAATACCAGGAAAAGTCTTCAACAGGGTATTATTAAACAGAATGTAGGACTTCGTAGACGCCCAACTTTGAGACCAACAGGCAGGATTCCGTAAGGATCGAACGTGTACAGACCGAATCTCAACACTACGGATCATTGTGGAACAATCAATTGAATGGAATTCATTACTCTACATCAACTTCATTGACTACGAAAAGGCATTTGATAGCGTGGACAGGACAACACTATGGAAACTTCTTCGACACTACGGCGTGACTCAGAAGATAGTCAATATCATACAGAATTCATATGATGGATTACACTGCAAAATCGTGCATGGAGGACAGTTGACAAAGTCGTTCGAAGTGAAGACCGGTGTTAGGCAAGGTTGCTTACTCTCACCCTTTCTCTTTCTCCTGGTGATCGACTGTATCATGACGTCAACATCTGAAGGGAAGCACGGGATACAATGGACATCTAGGATGCAGTTGGACGATCTGGACTTCGCAGATGATCTGGCCCTTCTATCCCAAACGCGACAACAGATGCAGGAGAAGACGAACAGTGTGGCAGCAGCCTCAGCAGCAGTAGGTCACAATATACACAAAGGGAAAAACAGGATTCTCCGATACAACACAGCATGCACCAATCCAATCACAATTGACAGAGATGATTCGGAAGATGTAAAACCTTTACATATTTGGGCAGCATCATTGATGAACAGGGTGGATCTGATGCAGATATGAAAGCGTGGATCGGCAAAGCAAGAGCAGCAGATTTACAACTGAGGAACATCTAAAACTCAAAGCAACTGTCAACCAACACCAAGGTCAGGATTTTCAATACAAATGTCTAGACAGTTCTACTGTATGGGGCAGAAACCTGGAGAACTACGAAAGCCATCATCCAGAAGATACAGGTGTTTATTAACAGTTGTCCATGCAAAATACTTCAGAACAGTTGGCTGGTCAAAGGAAAAGAGGAAAAGCAAAGAACACATTACGCCGGGAAATGGAGATAGACATGAGAAAAATTGGATAGAACTGGAAAGAAAGGTTCAGGACAGAGTGAGTTTGAGAATGCTGGTCGGCGGCCTATGCTTCATTGGGAATAACAGGCGTAAGTAATTAAGTAATCCGCATACAGTGGTTTTTAGCATTTGTCCGATAGGGAAGTTACACGAGGAGATTCTGGGATGTTCTTCTAAAAGATGATTGGGTGGAATATCTTTGGCTCTTTCTAAGCTTCTTAAAGCTTCCTCGAGTTCACCCGCGAGACGTTCTCACATCTACCCTCTTTAAAATCTCTTATAGAACACGTTCCCTTCGGATCCACCTGAAACTTGGTTGCAGCATTCCTCTTGCGATCCATCACTCTTTAAGGTTGTGCCGCTTTGCTCTCTCGTCTTTTATATCTCCTACATTCGTTTTATTTAGGGATTTTTTAAAATGAATCCACGAGCAATTGAAACGGGAGTCAGTTTTGTGTGATCAATGTTCTTCAGTCCCCTTGAATTTGGCTTACATATCTTATACACGTCCAGACATTTCTCTGGACTAAGTACAGTGCATTTCCAATCCAACGTTCTATAACCCTGGTTCCCACTTCCTTTTACTTTGACATGACTTGACAAGTACCCTTTCTTCCACCTGGAAGCTTCAAGTAGCCTTTCGATACTCATTTGTAGGTTTATTTATCTTGCTTAGCGGCAACATATTGTTAAAGGCTGTCACAATTTTCCTCCCGAATATACATTCATCGGGTGACTTCTCAAATCCGGCACCGCCGGATTTGGGGTAACTCTGTAATACATTAAGAATTTACCGGCCACTTTTTATGGAATACCCTCTCCTCACCTTTTGAACAGAGCTCTTTTTATCGTATCCACGGATTTTTCTGTTTTAACATTCGACTAAGGATGGTACGGAGGGGACTGTAGACGTGTTGTACCATTTCCGTTGCAAAACCGTATAAAAGCAGATGACAAACTGAGTACCGTTTTCAGTTTTCAAGATCTCTGGAACCCCTAAACAAGCAAACAATCTTGAAAATTCTCTAATTGTATTCTCTGGTATCGTGTTTGAAATGTCATATACTTTCGGCAATTTCGTGAAAGCGTCTACAACAACCAAGTAATTTCTACATTTAATGGAACCGGAAAAATGAGCGTGTATTCTTTGCCAAGGTCTGTCCGGTTTTGGTCATGGTTGTGTTTTTGCGTTTGTGATATTTTTCGCGAACTCTAGACAGGACCAACAGCTGAGACACTTTTGTTCTATATTATGGTCCATTGACGGTCGATACGTAGATCCGAGCTAATAATTTCATTTTACCGATTGCCTGATGCCTGCTGTGGAATTGTTTAAGGACTTGATGTCGAAGACACGATGAAATTTCTTCTAAAAATGAAAAAATTATGTCGGACGAATCAAATGATGATCAAAAACCCAATGACATTTTGATAGATACTGATTTTTGTAGTGACCCATTATCCACTAGTGAGATTCTCAGTAAATTTGATGGGAATGTTCTAGAAGAATTAGACCCTGATGACTTCCAGTCAAATGTCGTCCATCCCCACCATCTAGCCACTTCTTGTGCATCCTCTATTCAATGCAAGAAATCTGTTTTAAATAAGGTCACATTAATTGTAACTTGGGTATATGAGGATCCAACATTATTTCGTGCAAGAGGATAAAGTCAGAAAATTTAAAGTCAGGACCTAAACTTCGAATCTTCAAAAAGGGGAAAATATATCCCGACGCGAATTATGAATGGTAACTTTTGAAAACTACTTGTGGACAAATGTTATACGTATTTTATAATGCATAACTATTCAGTAACTAAATCATGTATACCTATACTCCTCCTATTACAAGTTTTATTTTGACCTGTAACCTATTATTGCACGATTTACCATTCCTAAGTTATGCCCAGTCTATTAATTCCAGTATTCGACATTCACGGCCACTTTTAGCTAGATTTTGTACAGATGTTGTTTTCTATTTTATGATGCGATGTGGTCTGTTTTGTTTTTATATAAATTCAGTATATTTGAAACACACGATTCATATCGCGGAGGCTGACATTGGTGTTCTGGACTTAACAGGCAGATTTAGGTAGGGAGAAGAATTGATAAAGACTCTAGACTTCTCGAACGGGTTTATGCGTCATTAGTTCGGTCGATAATTCACTGTGCTCTAATTGGTGGTATTATTACTTTGTATACTACTAGGGCACAAGGCCATAAGTTATGGCATTTACGACAATCACACGGAGCACAACCAGATAACAAACAGTTATTGCCATATTCAGTACGATTTTCAATGCACTCGTGGACCGGTGTCGGTGAATTCACTACAAGAAACAGGAAGATCACACGATGAGACCCAGTGATCAAGATTGAGGTTTGAACAAACTAGGGGATACTGATTTTGATGCTGAACGTGTTGTACTTCACGTTCTTTGGTGGTAATAAGGCTTGAACGGAGAATGACACTTTGGCGGACAATAAAGCCACTATCTCAATTAAATTCTTTGTTTGTTATGAACAAAAACATCAAGGTTTAGGGTTCTTTGCCAGAAGCAGTCAGATTTCAGCTTATAGAGAGCGATCCGAACTTCCAATCATGACACTTAGATGCATAATATTGAATCTCACACTAAACTGACCTTTTGTTTCCTATAAGTGTTCTGCAGAAACTAAAAACAAAATTTTTGGTGTGTAGAAAAGTTCACTGAGGAAAATTTAAGATCCGACTTCAATACTTGAAAGTTGAAAAATATGACCTATGTCATTAGCCCAAATATTGATCTCCCAGTATTTTTACTTAGTAGGCGCTGTTATTTCGCGGAAAAAAGTAAACTTTGACATTTAAAGTAAAACAATACGATAAATTTCTACTCTATGTAGTAAAATAATAAGTCCAAATGCTTACCTTTAAACATATCTACACGAAATATTAAATTGAACTAATATGTGATCATAAAACATCTAATAACTAATGCTCAAGACATCATGACTGTTAGAACGTTTTCCTCAATATCATCACTATACAAGTAAAAATATCGATGCTAATAAAGTGCAATAACTAGTGAAACACTGGTTGCTAAAAGTGTTAACTTGCTTAGGCATTTTTGATGGACACAATAATTCATAATTTTCTTTTGGAAACCCATCACCAGAAGCTAATTCAACCTCTTGATCTCTCAAAAAAGCGACAACAGGTTTATATTTTGACTCAAAATTTTCAGTATGTTCCTTCAAGCATCTCAAAGCTCCTTGGTTTCCTGAGTACCTATCTAATGATCCACACCAATCAGATAGCCCCGTATTATAACACAGACGACAGACTTCTTGTGTGTTGTCTCCGAATGGATTAAAAATTTCAGATAATGAATTCGGTATGCAAGAATCACCAAGATAACGAATTAAGTTTTGTACTACACTGTTACACTGCGTAACCGGAATTGCTCTCAAGTCTGATATTAGTGTACCAACGGGCATTACCCAGCCTTCTGCTGTCCCAGCACCTATTTTTAAAATAAATTATTGTCAAAATAAAATCAGTTTACCGGCTGAACAAATTTCTTTACCCCTTAAATTTGTAGGATCTATACTTATACTGACTGGCTTAACCATGACCGCATAATAGTACAGATTTCTTGCATTTGGTGCATTGCTCATTGCATAGTTTTCCACAGCAATAGGACGTAAACTGTACAATGAGCTGCCATAATATGCCAGACCAACATCCAAATTCATTAAATCAGCCTGCTTTTCATTGATCAACTTCATACAATTAAACTCATCTGATCCGAGAATACAGGTTAAATTATATTTGTTTGAAATCGTAGTAGTAGATTGAATCACTGAACTAAGGCGGTTGCACTTGATTTCTTCTTCAGGTGATACTGAACACCATCTTACTGTTGCTAAAAGTGAGCAATAAGAGCGTATTTATGACTGGAAGTGATTTAAATGATGTATAAGGAATCGAATTATCTTCATCGACTTAAGACCCGAAAAAAACCATGAAATTACAAAAAGGAATTCTGAACAAGATCTAAGAACTCTATTTGATGTCTACACTAAAGAACATGACAAAGAAAACTGACAAACTTCAGATTTTATCAGAACACTAATGATTTCTAAAATATATTGTTTTGCGATAGAGTGTGACTTTTTCTGCCAACATCAAAGATTAGTATTTGTCTGTAAACAACTTTTGCATTTGTCAAGTTTTCATGTAACATTTTCAGTGAAAAAATATATAATAAATGAACCCATTAGTAGTAGATTATCCTCAACTTAGATAGAATTATAGTGAGAAGGGATTTCACTTTCAGAAACACTGGCAAAACTGTTCGTCATAACAGTGGATACTTTTAAAGACTCTAAAACTAGTATGTAACAGATTTTCAATACTTTGTTACTTGAGATGCTTTTCAAGGTAATAAGTTCCCAAAATCACTTTGAACAAAAGTGGTTTGGAACTTGTCAGATGTACGTCTCTGCTAAAAAACACTTATATTATAGCCCTAACCACGCACTTATTATCAAAAAAAACGTGAATAAATTAGTTATAGTCGTCGTAAATAAAGATGTTTATTTCTAGGAGCTTCTACTTCAGTTAACTTTTCATGAAGTACCCGTGCTTGTAATACACTCTACAAGAATGTTGCAACCCGACGACTTTCGGCGATCCTTGCTAGCTAAATAACGCAAAAATTGAAACCTTCAATTTCTTAGCAGCAGTAAGATTTGTTAGTTGACCAGTAAAAATGTATAAGGTTTTTCTATGGTCTTGACACAAAGCAACTTAGAATCATGGCTGACCGTTTATTTTTTATCGTCAATCCTTGCATGAAGTTCAGAGTTGATGTAATATTTGTAACTTATTGAATAATAGTGGGAAGTATTGTACACACGTACTTCTATAAATATATGCACAATGAAAAAACAGGTAAATCTATCAACTATGTGGAAAGTTACAGACCATAATTTCAAGAAGCTAACATGTTATAACCTACTCTGAGAGCGAATAAGACTTATTCCGAGGAATACATGAAAAACACGGGCGAACTGTAACATCCGTGTTAAGAAACATTTAAAAAGATTCCCTTCGTTTGTTTATTACATTTTACGACTACAAACAATGACAAGGTCACATCACCAACAATTGTTAGAGTCGACTCCAATCAGGTTCACTTATGTTAATGGGAAAATTATTCTTATATATAAAAGAAGCAACGCAAACTTATAAATCTAGGTTCGTTATACTGTAAGTATGGCCTAGGTAATCTTATTCACTGCTTAATACAAATGCTATTACCCAATCGCTTCCACTCTGAGTAGCTGACTTGTTCCATGCCTCAGCTGAAGATAGAACACAGCAATATCAAATGGTTAAAATAAATTGAGTGGTTCTGGACAGAATAATAGAACCCTTTATCCTCCGTAATTTCGCATCTAGCAGCATTCAGTTTCAGTTTCAGTTTGGGAAGGACAGGAGGCCAGATGGCCTGCATTAGTCCTGTCAATGATGGTCCCTCAGTTGATCCAACTTTCTTTTGAAAGAATCGACGGATGGAGCCTCAACCACGTGCTGAGATAATGAGTTCCACTCGTTGGTGATTCTATGGGAATGTCGATGGTCAGCTGACAAGTAATTTGTTCTTGGCTTGTGAAAATTTTTGAGTGTCCTCGTAAAATCTCTGTTTTAGAAGACAAGAAAAATGAGGGCATATCAGGTGCAAATTTATCACTAAGCATTTTTAAAACTGTAATCAAGTCGCTTCTAGTTCTGCGATATGACAACGGGAAAAGGTTCAGCTTGGCCAGTCGAGCTTCATACGGAAGCTTCGCTATTCCGGGAATCAGCTTAGTCGCCGTTCTCTGAACCTTTTCCAGAAGCCCACTGTCTTTTTTAAGCAGGGGCTAGCAGCTTGTATGCAGTACTCAAGTTTAGAACGTACGAACACTGTATGTAAAGTCAAAAACGTCTTAGCGTCGACATGACTAAAAGAACTACGTATTGACCATAAGGTTCCAAAATCTTTGTCGGCTATTGCACGGCAGTGTACAGTAGTCTTTAAGTCTTGGCTAACGATGACTCCTAAGTCATTATATTTCTGGACGACAGGTAGCTCAGTGTTTTTCATTGTGTATGTATCTGTGCCTTGATGACCGATATGCATCACAACACACTTGGAAGTATTTATCGGCAACTGCCAGGTTTGAGACCATTCAGATAACTTCTTCAGGTCGTTTTGGAGTTCTAAGCTACCACCCTCACATCGTATCGTTCTCCATGTCTTGACATCGTCAGTATATAGCAAGACCGATGATGATAGGAGACGAGGAAGGTCATTTGCATACAAGAGGAATAGCACTGTCCCCGGTCACTCAAAAAGAGTCTTTTTCGAAAAGAAACGAAATGCGATGAAGCTCAGAAACAAAAAAATAATCAACAACCAAAAAGTGAAGAACTGTAGACTGTTAGGACCAAAAGTACTAACAGATAACTGATGGCTCCGGGTCGGAACCTACGTATACATAATGGTAAAAATAATTGTTTGCAAACTGTAGTGAGATGCTGTCCTTAATTTTTAAGAATGTATCAAGTTTCCTCTAAGAAGACTCTCGTGAAATCAATCACACTTACTCAGCTGGCAGCGAATTCTACTCTTAAGGAGTGTAAGATGTGCCTACAGTTCGTTATGCTATGTTGTGTTTCTAATTTCTGAGTGTCACCATACAGTTGGGACTGAGTCCAAATGAGTATCTAAGAGATTGTCCAAGAGTGTTGAGAATGCCATAAGTCATTGGAACTTCACGACTGAGACGCCTATAATATAATGTATAAAGATTCACTGGTTTGAGTTTGAATTCCTAAACTGGTTTCGTCGCTCTCTGTTGGTTACATTTCGGTGTATTGTTATTTCTTCGGAGAGAGGGAGGAAACGCTATTTCCACACTTTTAATGTGGTCGAGTTAATCTATTTAACGCTAAGTGGAAAACTCTTCGGTCGAACTGATTGTAGATGCCGGAAACTTACTGAGCTGTTTATTTCGGGGGTGAAGTTGCCACAAGTATTCAGTGTATAACAACGCTTTAACCAATAACACCTAATATAACTCGTACCCACCAAGAGAAATCAGAAGACAGAATCGAGGAGATTGGAAGATATGTTTGATGACTATCAATATATCGAGAACCGTCTGATCTAATCTGGCTAGCGATTGCAGATGCTGAGCACGGCGTTCTCACTCGTGATCTGGTGCGGATGCATGACCGAGCACCTTCAGCTAGGTGAGTCTGTAGTGGCATTGGACAATAACCGCACAATCCACAAAGCTGAACGCGAGACTACTCAGAAAATAGATATTCAATATTTAACGCGGATAAATACCTAACGATGGAGAAGGCGCGAACAATGAATTGAATGGACTGGAGTTGATCGGATGGCATGGCTCGGCCATGCAGGCGTGGTCCATCTGAATGTTATCTTATATCTTCTATTCATATTAAATATATTGTTCCTTCTCTAGCCTAACCTTGTTCTACATCATGTATTGGTAATTGATACGATACAGTGAGTTGGTGTAGTCGATGGTGTGACTTCCACGTAAGATCTTATAGATTAGGCAGTTATATCATGACAAATCTACAAATTTAGGATTAGGTCTATTATTAGAGCAGTACTAATATCATAGTAGACCATAGTTCTACATTGGTGAGCCCAACTAAAGAAACGCAACCTAATATTGTTAATCCTTATTTCCACCTTAACCTTCTCAATCGGATTTATTTTTTGGTAAACCCACTATTCTAATAGTCCTTTGATTAATGGTCACATATATTATCGTAATGTTATATCTATTAGTTCACATAACTTACTAGCTCAATCGATAATAAAAACTGGTCGTCTATATTAACTAATTAGCTTTGATGGTTCGTTAACAAGCTTTAATAGCATTTACATGCTTCAGCGACATAGACTTGTTTAAAGCATCAAGCTCTAGCAAATATGACCTGTAAATAAGCGCAAATATACATTGACTAACAATGCAGCAAGGACTAAATAGTTATCTGGATCTAATATTCAGTGTTCCTTATCTTATCACCTCATCCTGTTTTAAACTATGCACTATCCTGTAATATCTTTTCTTCCGACCACTGCCTGCCTAATTTCATATTCTCGAGTTCCATTGCCAAACAACAAGGATGACACTTCTCCAAAAACATACGGTGAGTTTCAGCCTATAAGTTTTCTGCAATCATAAGGTCATTTTAGATGGCTCATTCAATGGACACACACAATTATCTGGATTCATTCAGTTGTTCTGATCAGAGTGAGTCCCAAAAAACGTCAACAGCATCAAGCACCCTGGAATTAATTGCCATACTGCATGTTTTATTCTGGATGCTTTTGGATCATTACTACTCACGAATGGCGTTATATATGTCGTCCACTGAATAATCTAATTTTCAAAAATAACCCAGGCGAGTTCAACTATTTTACTTAATGATTTTTTTTACTTAACATGTATATGTTTTCCGGTTCCTTTTGCCATATATTTGTAAGTGTCCCTAGGCTAAATGCAGTAACTTCTTATGGAATGTTTATAACGCATCATATTCCTGCCTGAAGTTTCACAAGCAGTCTAAACTTTAAAATTATTTTCTGGTCATGTTCATTATTTTTAAATCGTCATATACGTCAACAACCTGCATGTTAACCTGGCCCATACATACGTTACACTATATCTCCATGTCTTCTAAATTTAGAAATCTGGATCGCCTTTAACATTTATCAATAAACCCATCATAGTCGTTGTTGCTAATCGTATTTGGGTTTATCATATTAGCAGCCTAAAATGCGAACATAGTTTAGATAATAAGATTAAAAATTTAGGTACTATCAACTGCACTAGTAAAATAACTAAATCCCAGGTAGCTGTTGGCTAAACAAACGTTTAAAATCAAAACTCCGTAGCCTACTAGAATTAACACTAAACGAATATTTCTGAATTGAAATTTATAATTAAATTAGGCGTCTCGGATTCTTTAACGTTATAAATTTCTGATGATTTCGAATCACCTAAAGCAACAATACCTATTTTTCCACTGACTAATCCTCAATCAACACTATAACTAGTTAAATTTAATAGTTTCAGGATATCGTCATAAAGCATTGTCATAACTTGACAATCACGTAATATGATTGATAAAATTAATGAAACTATTAACGAAATCGGTCAACAAATTGACTTATAATTACCATTAGTGTTGTTTTCTTGTATCTTCATCCATCACAGATGATTACAGTATGTTTCTCTATCAGTTGCTCATTCAGTAAATATCTCAAAACCTTGTCAGTCTAATTGATGGTTTAGCGACACAATCATGCATGCAAATAATCAGTATAAGCAGTCGAGCAAATCTCCTGCAAACTGAAAACATCAATGTCGAATTTACCCCAACACTGACTAAGGTTCAAGCCATTATCATAGACATGAGTTGGGAGTGTACTCCCCTTGGTTACAACTTATGTTCTCCCTGATAATCACATGAGCATCACTCACTATTAATCATCTTGTAAAAACTTATTTAGCCAAATACATCTTGCAGCACCACATCACCTAGTAATATGACACATAAGCTGATTTCAATAACTTATAACCACTATATCTCAATTAAATCGTATTCCGCCTTATGATAAACTGCATACTTGCAACTAACTTGTATGCGTCATCAGCCGTCAGGTATAAATATGTATAAATAGACTATGGCAAATCAGAACATTGAGTCTAGAGCATGTCTCTTACGAATACACTCATGTTTAACGATTTGTTCTTAGCTATCTGTCCAAAACTCATAATTATCACTTACGTATTTAAATTTTGTTTTGATAACCATTCATGTGTATTAGTAGTATTACTAAATTCTATCACGGTCAAGTAAAAATGAGGTTGAGAAAATCTCCCCGTAACTAAATAAACCGTATCAAACTAACTGGAACACTAGTTGGAATTCTTCTCCACGGTAATACTTTTGTTCTTTCAGTTAGCCTACTAATACAAATGCA